TTTACTTATGAAATTTTAATAAGTAGCAAAGAATACCCGTATTTCAGTATCCATAGTGCCGTGTCGTGGCAAATGTTCTCCTGACACTTTTTTGACGTATGATCCTTGTGAAAACCGCTGGGTGAAGGCTGAAAAACACTGCCCTTCAAAAACATCATTAGAAATCACTTTTTCAAACAAACTCTTGAAACGCTAAAATACAAAAATGTTGAAAAATCTACGAATCTTTTTCTGTCCTCACATATTTCCCTCTCCGTTTCATATAAGCAAATCAATTTACCTACGTTTCAATGCAAAATTTTTTTCTCTCTACGGATATTCAAATCTGTGGTACTTTTTTATTGCATACACTTGAATCTAAGATCCTTTCGTTTCAGGTATACTCAAGTCTTATATCATTCTAAGGTAACAGTATTTTCGACAACTTTCATTACTCCTTATGCAGATAACCTAGTTCCCAAAGTCATTCCTAAATATATGGTTTTGTAATTCCAAATTTAAAAGGATTTTGAAATGGGTCAAAAAGTCATCATGATTTCCGAATTCTAAAACGAAAACAGTACAAAATACTCAGGAGATTAGAGATAAGTCCAGCTATGCGATGCTATAAAAATGAAAAAAAGAAAAAAACCACCCAAAAGGAGAGAGTTATTTTCTTTCCTTTGAGGGACATATGTTATTAGTACTATAATTTTTTTTATTGATATCAGTACCATCAACAATCCCTCACACATGGAGTCGATGTCATCTGTTTACATCTTATTAATTCACACTTTACTTAACTTCATTGCATTTTAGGACTGAAACTTGCCTAAGTTACACAAATGAATGGGCAATTTAGGGGTAAAAAAATCGAAAATTTTGGACAGGTCAAAAACTAACTTTGGTAAATAAGTAAAGGGAAGAAATCTCTGTGAAAACTTAATATAGTCTTAAGAATCTATCTCAACTCAATCTGATCCTTTGCCCAACTTGACCTACACCATCCCTTGACGACATCCTCTCACAGCATTGCTTTCAACAGAAGCTGAAAATTCGCACGAAACCAAAACAAACCACACCGCCCAAACCTAGACGCGCTATGAAAATAAGCTTATATCTTCAAACTTTGAAGATTAGAAATACCATTGGAAGAGTAAAGTGAACTTTTGCCAGCTACACAAGTTATTTCTTTCTTAAAAACTTTAATTTTCAATTACAGTAACAGTAGTCATACCGTAGTCCTGAAGAGAGCATTTGTATTCAAAAATTATCAATTTATTGATAGCATTTACAAAATAATCTTATGAATCCAAAACCATAAATTTCATCAAATATATTATCCATTCAGAAAAAAAATTCCAAACGTGTAGTAATGATCAATCTTTTATGATCTCAACCATATCACACTGTATTTTTTAATTTTTTATGAACTACTGTAGCTTATAGTTACTGTACTGCTCTTCATATGAAATCGTAAACTGTTATTGCATTTTAAGTTTCCTTTATTGTTTCTTCTTTATCAATCATTTGTCGCTTTTTATATTCTAATCGTTTTCCATATATTATTTCTTTCATTATTTTAATTATCCATTATTATTACAATTATTAGTGATTTAATTAATTTTAATTAACCATTTCTCAGTTGGTGAAAAATTATTTTCTTACATCTGATAATAAAATTAGACTTTGCAATATTTCAATTTCAATTTAATCTAAATATTTTTATAAAGTTTGATGGAACTTTTTTGCTTTAATGCAATTTTATTATATGAAAGCAATGATATCACATTTTATTTTAATTCATTAAAAAAATCATAGAATGTTATCTTTTTCTTTTTTTGGGAGAGAACAAGAAATAATTAATTATGATTTCATCATTACTTATCATTTAATATAACTGAATTAAATTCATAATTTTTTAAATCAAAATTCAAAACTGAAAAAAGAAATGCGAAGTGATAAGGTGAAAACAAAAGAAAAAATAAAATAAAAGTAGATGGCAAAAGAAAGATGTAGTTATTATCAATAGATGATAACGATTTATTTCTAACATGATAAATGTAAGTATTCTATTCTTTTTTAATTTTTCTTATCATCTATTAGGTGATATATAATTAAAATCACGTTTTAGGATGATATATTGATTAAAATGATTGGTCTAATTCGAAATAATTCAATTAATAGATTTCAATTATTGTTATCATTTGTTGATATCATTGATATATCTCTGCGATGCATATTTTCTGGTGGATTTATTTCTGATATATTTGTCTGTAATTATAACCATCATAACATTCAAACATTTTAATCAGTAAATGAAATAATAAGAATTAAAATAAATTAAACTGGTAATTTTATAAAATCAGTTCAAGAAAATCATTAAATGAGTAAATAATTCAATAATTAAATAAACAATAGGGAATGATAGATTCCAAATACTTCTAAATCTAGGATTTTTCATCTATTTTAATTTCTTTATTTTAGTTAAATTAACTTAAAATCACAAATTATTTAACTTAAATTATTGCATGTTAAAATTACAAAAAAAAAAAAAGATCGAAAAGAAAAAAGAAAACTAACGAATCGTCCCATGCTTGCAACAATATATCGTCCCATTTCTGATTTGCTAACAATCATATAAAGGAATGGTGTATCAAAAATGATATCCGCTTGTATCTCTTAATAATAATTCAGTATTAGATTTAATAATTTAAGATAATTTAATATTTGATTTCATATTTGATTTAATAATTAAAAATAATTTAATAATTGTTCAAAATTATTTAGCACTAAAACGATTAATTTAATATAAAAATTTGTTGAAACGAAAATAATTTAGCAAAAATTTGAATTTAAATATAAGTTAATTGATTGATTAATTAAGTATAGCTAGTTGAATTGTTTTGTTTTTGGTTAAATGAAATGTGAATTTAAAAAACATTTACATTTTTATATTTATGTTTTTTATATATATTTATATTTTTTTTTCATTTTTTTTAAGTTCATGAAAAAAAAAAATTTGATGCCAACTAATAATTTTATTATATCTATACTATCTAATGTCACCTTTAATTTGATTTTCCTTTTCTTTGACCATAAAATATGTACCAATAGAAGGTGTCTCATCTCGTTCCACCTTGATAACATCAATTTTATCAGCAAGTGCTATTTCAGGTCCTTTCATAAGACGAAATATTAATTGTTTTTCTGTAAAAAAAAAAAAAAATACTCAAAATGTAAGAAATAGCCAAAAAAGGAAATAGAAATTAGGTAATAATAATGCGAAATGTTTTAATTAAGCAAAAGTTGTTAATTAAAATTTTGAAAAATTATACTTTGTAAAGCTTTCTCTTTCAAATTTCCAATTGCTTTATCGTTTAAAATTTCTCCAGCAATTATCTATAAATCAGAATATGAATTGATAAAAATATTTATCAGCAAATAATCTGAATGACATCATAATTAAAATGATAATCATGATAACTTTTGTTAAACAAAGAACAAGAAAATAACATATTAGGTTATCGGGAAATACCAGAATTTCAAAATATTCAAGATGCAATGGATGCGGTAAAAAGTATAAAGAAGCGAGATAGGGGTTAAAGGTTAAAATATACCGTTTTAAAACAAAAGAAAAAAAAAGGAAAAGAAGCAATGATCGCGATATGAAGTGAAAAGTTAATGTAGCTTCTTTTATGATCGTTTAATCTTTGATCTTTGGTCCTTTGAAATACCACATAAAGTTTTCATCCTTGAGCTAATTTGTTTCAAAAATTTTAATCGAATGAAAATCATTATCCTTATCACCATCATTATCATCATCATCATCATCAATTCTTATCAGCATTTTCTGATAAAAGATAATGATGATGAAAAGATGTATGCTAAAAGTTTTGCATATATATTATTATATGAAATATTTAAATTTGAAAAAATTTACTTTTAAATTTTGTTTTTTAATTTCTGCGCCCGCTGCGGAACGTTTCTAAAATACAATTTATATTTGTCAACAAATGAATAGAAAAAATATCCTCAACTTTTGCCTATCCTATCATATTTCTCATAATTGAATTTAATTACAATTAAACTTTTCATTGGACTAATTAATCTAGAATTAATTGCTAATTGATTCATCAATCTTTTCTTCTTTAACTCTTAAGAAATATTGACATCATTCGTTCATTAATACTTATACAAAACAACGAAATTAATGCCTTTACCAAAATTTATAATGATTGATTAAAATTATTTGTAAATAATTAATTTAAGGTTAAGCCAAAGCTAAAATTATCTTATTTATCACATTATCATACTCTCTTTTATCATATTTGATAATAAAATTCACCGAATATGTTGACATGGATGATTGTGTTCTGTTACTGTTATCATTAATATTAACATGAGGATTATTATCATCATCATCATCCTTATCATCAATTTGTGTTTTTCATCTTTTTTAGTATTTTGTTGATTTGTTCCATCAATGGATTTGCTTGTTGATGATCTGCTTGAATTCTTTTTACATCACTAAATATTCATATAATCATGATAAATACTTTTCAAATGTACTGATAAGTAATTATCACTTTCTCCTGATTATTATATATTTTAAAGGAAAACATTATTATATATTTTCTATTATTGTATTTTTTTTTAAAAATATCAATAAATAGAATAGAAAAATAAATTCTTTGAAAATACTTGTTATTAATTAATATAATTATTGGAAATACCTAGCATATTTAGTAAATTTCATATGTAATATTTACAATAAAATAATTCTTAAAATAAGCATATTATTCTGTGAATGTTAAGAAAAAAAATGAAACAAATTATTCATTAATTAAAATTAAATAATTCGAAATTTTAAGAAAAAAAATAGAGTAAAATAGAAAGAATAGTATGGAATAGAATAAATGTGGAATAAGTTATTCATTTAGTTTAATTACAACTGAATAAACAGAAAATTCGAGAAATAATACTTAATTAATTAGTGTAACATTTGATTTTAGCGCTAATTACATTTGTTGCTGTGGCAATTCCTGTGGCAATTCTTTTTTTCGACTAATATCCTGTTGAATTCTCATTTGTTTGATTGTATTTTTCAATAGTTGTTTTAGTGGTTTCTTCGGTTGAAATATTCTATCTGAGCTTGGCCTATGACATATCATTAAAGGTTGACATGGGATATTCAAATACATATATGCATGCATATATAAATATGTGCAACTTAGTGCAACTAATCATTTAACCGCATTCCGCTACGGATTATATATGCAAAACTAATCATTTAACCGTATTCCGCTACGGATTGTATATCCGATTATTCTCTGAGAAAAAAAAAGGAGAAAACATCATATTGTGGAATTCAAATTTACAAAATAATAATACTTATTCAAAATTCCTCGTTTGTTCCTTTTGAATTTTCTTGATTTAGCAATTGAATCAAGTATTCGTTTACTATCAAAATTTTCATCATTTCCATTCTGTAAATTAATTTTTTTTTTTTGTTAAATTTCGTTGTCTGAAATGATAAATTAAACGATCTATTGATAATTGATAAGCTATTAAAAACCCCGTATTATGCAAGGAGGGATAGATGATCATCAAAAGAAAAAGAAAATGAATTTAGCTATTGTCAAACAAATAAATGTGTAAAAAAAAAAAGTGATAAAAGTAAAGAAAGAAAGAAAAGAAAAAAACCCCGAGAATTCCGATCATATAATGTTTTCGATCAATTCCAACTTGACCTTCAATAAACATCATCCTTCCACTAACACTTATCACTCGTTGTTTTCTTTTCTCAGTCATTTCATCTTTCATTGCTACAATAAAATTTCAAATTTGTTTTTGTTTTTTTAAGGGAAAAAAAAGAAAATCAATATATTCTATCTTTCATTATTATAATTGATATTTTATTAAAAAAGAAATAAAAAATTCCAAAATTAATTTTAAAAATAAAAAATTTAATCACTTCGTTGACTGTAAGTAATTGCTTTCATTTCATCATCATTTTCTTTTGTCATTTCTGGTCGTCCAATTTTTACCTATAATAACAAATGAGGAATGATGTTAAATTTCAATGTATACATGGATAATCATAACAGTTAAATTATTGGATAATAATAATGACAATAATGATAAAAGAAAAGATGATAAAAGATTTGATAAAAAGAAATGATAAGGGATAAAAAGATTATGATCGAAAAATTCTAAAATTTTTTTATTGCCATTTCATGGAAACTTTTTATCATCATTTCTTTTTCGGATTCAAAAAAAAAAATCAAATTAATAATTAGCACAATTTAATTGATCGTTTTATTTGTAAAATTTTCAATTGAAAAATTTTTTCCATTTAAAAAATTGTAAAAAAAATGATTTGAAAATATTCAATTTCAAATTTAAATTATAATTTAAACATACAACCATTTTAGTTTTATGATAATAATCCCAAAGTGGATATATATGACTTGGACCATAATTTTCCCGTGAACCTTTCCCATATATCATTCCAAATTCGGCCTTATCCGGTGAAAATATTTGAGAGATACATGGATACGGAAATTGTGGATGTTTATTTTTGAAGATAAAATGATAGAATGGATTACATGATGCAAATACTGATCGTAAACCAACAGGTGAATTTATCGAAATACATGGAATTACAACCTGAAATTAAATATTTCTTACTATTACATATGTATCAATTTGACATACGAAATTTGAAATATTTAAAATTTTTAAATTAGAAATATTAATTTGTAATAAATATATCACAATTAAAACAAATAATGTAATTAATGCTTAATACAGTGAAAGTATTACCTTTTAATTGAAAAGCATTACTTTTTGATTGCAAATTACAAAAGTAATAATTGAAATTATACCTAATTAAAATAATAGAAATAATTAATGCTTAATAGAATAAAGGTATTATCTTTTAATTACAAATTACCAAAATAATTAAAATTACATCGAATTGAAACAATAGAATGATTAATGCCTAGAAGAGTAAAGATATTACCTTTTAATTAAAAATTACTTAAAAAATTAATTAAAAAATTAATTTTAATTAAAAATTACAAAAATAACAATTAAAATTATACCGAATTATTTTAAAAGGACAATAACAATACGATAAACTTACCGATTGTCTTAATGGCTCTAGGCTTATTTGATCGATATAATGTCGTAGTTGTTTACCATCTAATGATTTCAGGAAATCATTTGAAAATAGCATTTGTGGTTGAAAAAGGTACCTAAAATTAAGAAAAAAAATACCTAAAAATGAGAAAAAAAGAAAAAAAACTACCCAAAATAAAAAATTTTATTAAATAATTTATACAGTCAAAAAAAAATTTTTTTAATATTTTCCATTTTTTTTCACCTATTATTATCATTCATTCATATTGTATTTTAAATTTTAATAATATATTACATTTTAAGATCATCAATTTCAGAATCTAATTCGAGGACACGTATACCATCATTGGTAAGGCATGTACGAAATAAGCCATCACATCGATATCCTTTTATCTGAATTATTAAACTTTAATTTTAATTTAAACTATAAAAATTATTATCAAAACTGTTCAATTTTTTTTTTATTTTTCATTTTTTAAAAAAATATTATTAAAATAGTAAATTTAAACTTAAGCATACAATGCTACGTGTTTGCGTAATTTTCTCATACGTTTCATAAAAAAATGTCTCCACTTCCTGTATTTGACCCGGTGGTTTCCAATAGAATGTCGAATTAAATGTTGTTATTAGTACTAAACGTGTTTTTTGTTTTGGTTTCAAATCTTGACGTACAACATATTCCACGATTCCTTGACTTGCTTCCTATATAATAATTCATATTTAGCATAGCATAGCATAAGAAATGTTAATTGATATCAATTAACGATAAATGAAATTGATAATTCATCTTAGTATAGCATAGCATAGAAAATGTCGATTGATATGATAAATGAAATTGATAAATTATCTTAGTATGGGATAGGAAATATTAATTAATATGATAAATAAAATTAATAATTCATCTTAGCATATCGTAACATTGGAAATAACAATTGACATGATAAATGATAAAAAGCATAACTATCATTTAAAACTATCATATTTTAAAAACTATCGGAATTAATTAATCAATTAATCAATTACTTTAATATTTTTATTCATTTCATTTACGAGTGTTTGTCCATTAGGATTCATTTGGAAGCACATTGTTTGTATCACTTCTTTCTTCATCCTTTCATCCATTTCAAATTCGATCATTTCCGCTTCTCGAGACTATAAAAGAACAAACAAAATGATATGAAAGAGGGGAGGAAATAGCATTTCAGAACAAACTATAAAATCTAACCTCTGTACCGTAATATTTTTCAATATATTCCACTAATTCATTATCAAATTTTAACAAATCATTTTCTTCAAAATATATTTGTATTGCTCCTTTTGATAATGATTTCAAGTAATTGATGCAAAGATCATTCAAATCTTCATGTACAGTTTTCCCAAGAACTTCAATTACACCAAATAAAGCTGCAAAAGAAAAAGAAAAGACAAATTATTTCAAGAAATTCAATAATATTTGCCTATATTAGTGGTTCTAAACGGCGGTCCGCAAAAGCGAGCGGTGCCGCAGTAAAAAAGAAAAGAAGGCGGAATGGTGAGTAGAAAACAGGACCGTGCGGTAAGTGAAAAATAGGGTGGAGCGGTAAATAGAAAACATGCCGGGCTATTTTTTGTTTTTTATTATCATTATAATGTTTCCCTAAGTGTAACTAAATTTTCATTAAAGTTTATTTTCAAATAAACGGAATTTATTATTTTCGTATTTTGCTAATTCATGTTACAAATGAAAAAGTTAAAGTGGTCACTGGTTAAGAGAAGATTGAGAATCACTAGTCTATACTAATCAGGCAACAATTAAAGCTGTTTTCTTTTCCGGAATGCAAAAGATAATCTTCCGGTTTTGTTATATAATTGATTTCACTGTTGTAAATTTTGCAAAATTGTTCAATTCTAAAAAAAAAAATTTCAATCAATGTTTTTATGCCATTTCATTATTCTTTCATTCTTGCAATCTTACATATTATTCATTTTTTTTTTTTTTGTAAAACATTTCTTTATAAGTGACCAATTCTTTTATAAAATTTTTCTCTATTAAATGACCAATTCTTTATATCACATATTTCTTCATTAAATGACCAACTTTCCTTCTTATAAGTGACCATATCTAGGATGATTCATTTCATTTCAAATATTTGTTCTATATGTATACATATGTATTAGATATACCTTTCGAAATTAATTTAGCAAGTTTAATTTTGCATTTGCCATCAGCTAATATATGCAAAGCTGCAAGTCCACGAACAATTTGCAATGGTGAAATGGCAAGATTCCATTCTTCATATGTTATACGCAAATTGTCCTAAAATTTGTGAGTTGTATTACAAATCAAACATTGATATCAATTATAAGTTAATTTCAAGAAATCAACCATTCCTCGGTTTACCCGATTCCGGTCCATCCGAGAAATTATATGCGGGAATCTATTGGTTCGTATCATTACGTTGATCAAAGCATGATAAAAAAATAAAAAAGACTCAATTATTTAATTCAGTTCTTACTCAATTATTTATTAAAATCATTCAATTGTAACAATTTTCATTTCGATATATTCTAGAATTAATTCAGATTCATCCCGGTAAAATCTCTCTTTTCGGATAAATTTTGGTAATAATTTTGTAAAAAAAAACAAAAACAAAAATTTTTAAAATATTAATTTTTTAATTTCCTAAAATTAAAAAAGAAAACCCAAAAAGAATTTTATAATTAATAAAATAACAATGAATTTTTTTCTTTTTTCAATGATACAAACAAAACATCAGATAAGTTTGTTCACTTTATCCAAACCTTTCTTTCTTTATCATCTAATACAGAAATACATACGTACATATCACGTATCACACGTGTTTACGCGTAATCTTTTGGTAACAATTATGATAAATATCTACCATATAAATTTTTGGAAAAGAATTCAAAAAGAAAAAAAGAAGAGGAATAATATGGAAAAGTTTTAAACAATTTTAAATGATAGAAACCATTTCTTCTGCTGACAAATATGCCAAATTAAGACGTTTCGATGGAATTGTATTCAATAGTTTAATACCAAAATCGATTAATGACGAACATTCCCAATCGTCTATGAGAAATTCATTTTAATTTTTAGTCAAATTTCATTTGAAACTGATAAGTAAATTAATTGTGTAAGTAAGTAATTAAGTAAGTAAGTAAGTAAGTAAACAAGCAGTTTATACTAAATTGTCCTAATTTATCAAAATGATATAATTCTTAATGAACTATCAACTTAATTATTTCTAACATTAATTTAACAACTTTAAACTAATTATGATTAATTAAATTTTGTTATTTACTTAAACTACGAAAAAAGTAAATAAATAAAAAGTCCCTTATATAAATAAATAAACTTTTAGTGTAAAACAAGGAAAAAATACATCTTCTCTTACTCTTTCTTTTCTTTTTCCTTAAATAAATCGAAAAAAAAAGCTGACTGATTTTAGGATGACCAAATGGAGTGACCATAATGACCAGATCACTGAGTTTGAAATAATTAATTTCAGGTTTGTGATTGAAATAACCAATCTCAATCACACGACAAATAACACTGAGTGAATACGATTAATGCGAAATTTTACAATTTATAAACTGTATCTTAAAATATGCAAATTTTTTAAAAATTTACAAAAGCTATGAGTGACATTTTCTTTTTTTGCTACTTAAGACGGTTTTTATTTTTATTTTTTTGTTATTTAAGATAATAAGTCTAGCATATTTGAAGATGGTGACAAAATGATAAAGGATGGGTGAATTACTATCTAGATGGATAATATTCTGGTCAGTTTCCAAACTGGACGATTTGATGGGCGATTTGCTGGTCAGTTTGAATACATTCAAAAATAAACTAGAAATACTGTATAAATATCAACTTTCATATTTGATATTGTAAGTTAAACACATAATTTATTTAATAGTAAGTTTAACATGACAATAAGTAAGTTTAACATCGTCTTTTTTTGTCACCAATTAGTTTATCACTTTATCTTATCATATACATTCATTTTATCATCGTATAATATTTTATCAGTTATGAAAGACATTTTCATATAGCCGCTAAACTACTACTATGTAAGTAATCAATAATAGGCAATCAATAAGTAATTAAGTTTTTGTTGTACTGTAACATGATAAATCTTTTTAAGCGTCAAATTTACTTCTCTCAATTTCCAGAAATGCTAATCGGAATACCTGAAATGTATCCTACAGAAATATGCGATCATTGCTAACCATGCTGTTTCCAAGATTATGTTGCAAATTTTTATGCCAAACCTCTTAGAAACACTTTTAATTGTGTAAAGTTCAAAGTATTTGAGGTATATTTTTATCTTATCACCTATCTTATCACCTGTATCAACAAATAGTCTAACTATCTTCAGGTGCTTAATTTAAGGTATGTGAATAAATTTTGAATGAGCTCATTAATTAACGCCACTATAGAAGCGTTACCAAATATACCAGAATAATGAGATGTCAAAAAAATTGTTATTCATTTACAATTAGTAAACGAATTCATGCTAACCTTGAACAGATCTAAAATTAAAATACAACAATGAAATATATCAATTTGTTTTCGCTATAATTAATTACTCCGATATTTGATACCATTTCGATAACAAATTCCAAAATTTTGTTATTATCATTTTATAAGTTATAGAATACAAATTAATAAAAAATACGCATGTAAATATAAAAATATAAATTAATCGATTGTTATTTTCTCATAATTTACGATATAAAGAAATGATATGATTATATTCGAAATGATATGAAATCCTTATTTTCTTTTTCAGTCTTTTATTTCCAATATAATATAAAACAAATTATATATACAATATTCTTATCGTAACAGATCAAATTTAAATCAAATTTTTTTTCCATATTTTATTGATCATTTTAGCACCAAAATTAATCGATCGATTTATCACAATGGTTAAATTTAAATTTATTGATAGATGAATTTAAATTAGACCATTGTAAATTCAATGGAATTTTGATGAATGAATTCGGTAGATTCTATTGTTATAAAAAATGGTTTTAGAACAAAAAAAGAAAAAAAAATGAAATAAATTTATACAATTACTATATTGAAATAAGTTAATTTCATTGGAATTAAAAAACATTTAAATTTCCTAATTAATTTAATTACTACAATTTAATACAATAACTAATATCACAATTGTTATTACATATATAATTACATATTATACTAATATTACAATTACAATAGCTAATAATACCATCTGTAAACTAATTTAATCTTTCCAATTTTTAAGCTCTATAAAATAGTTTTACGTATCGTTGCATACTTATATCAAAATATTGATTATAGCATAAAGCCATCAATTTTAATTTTTTTTAAATTATCGAAAAAAAAACTGAATTTATTCAAGGATATTCCTGTTTTAGATCTTTCAATTCTCATTATATGATCAAAAAGATATAATTAAGATCAATAGATGATGAGTGTTTGAACTAATTGTTAATAATGATAATGATAATGTAATGATATCAATTTAAACTGAAATAAATTATCATCATTGATATATGTGTAGTAATAAATTATCGTATATAAATCAAAAATATAAAAAAAAATTACTAATTGTGTAATGAATTACCGTATATACATAAAAAAAATTATATTTATTAATCGTGTAACAAATTACCGTATGCGTATTTATCAAGTAAATCTGGTGTTACTTATCGTGAAATTATATTTCTTACTAATTAATAGATAATTAAAAGTTAAATTAAATTACGCCAAATATATGTAATAATTATTTTGAACATTTTATATCAACATTGATCTCTGCAAGTGCTTTTTGTTTTAAAATGATAATTTAAAAGATTTAATAATTTAAATGAAAATTTACAAAAAAAAAAGAGAAAAATTTTCTACTTTTTTTGCAACCCTTTTTTATTTTTCCAAAAGAAAAAAGGAAAACATGAATGATCGATAAAAAGTATTTCATTACCAATTAATTATTTATTAATTAATTAATTATGTGGCGAATTAAAGTAACAATAACGAAAAGAAAAAAGAACCGATTAATTTTGATAAGAAAAAATATTTTTAAAATAAATTTTTGCAACAAATATACTTTCTTATTTATAAAAAAGTTTCATAAATTTCTATTCGGTTTTATAAATCTAAAAAAAAATTCTATAAATTTCTATTTCGTTTTATAAATTTTCATTAATATACTTTGTCATTTATAAAAAAAGGCTTTTATAAAAAAAGAGTTTTGTAGAAAAAATAAAAAAGTTTTGTAAAATTTTTTTATAAAGTTTTATAAATTTCTTATTTATAAAAAATGATGTTTTATAAAATATAGTTTTACTAAAGTCTTACAAAATATTTTTTGTTTTTTCTTTTTTCTTTCACGAAAATTTGAAATTTCGAGAATACCTACAATTATAAGATATTGTCATTTGTATTTGAAAAAACTGAAAATATAAGCAATAAACAAATCAATAAATTAATTAATCGTTTAAATTGTATTTAAAAAAAAAAAAAATTTATATGAAAAATTTGTATTTTTTGTGAAAAAAATATTGTACTTAAAAAATTTTTAAATAGCATTAGAAAAAAATTTCATTTTCTTTAAAAAAACAAAGATTTTTTTCCAATTATTTTTGTTTAATTCCAATCTTTTTCAGTTTCATTTTAATTTTTTTTTAAAAATTCTCTTTAAAAAAATTTTCTTTAAAAAAATTTTTTTTTTTGTTAGTTTTTTTTTATATTGAATTATTATCTTTTTTTGGTTTCATTTAATTTTTTTTTTTTAAAGAATATTCAAATTTAATTTCTTTTTTTGTTTATATTGAATTATTAAGTTATTAATTTACCGCTAACAATATTTCAATCGATTAATGCTTTTATTAGGAATAAATAAATAAATTGATCTGCCAAATGCGCATCTCTAATCTGAGTAATGATCATAAAAAAGAAGCATTAGATTTTTCCCAAAACATTATCATTCATTAATCATCAAATTGATTATATAGGCTATACTTTCTTTTCCTATTCCCTTTTATCTAATATTTTTTCAATTTGAGCAAAATTTATGCTTTTATTTTGCTTATTTACACAATTTTTATTTAATTATTAATTGAAAAATATGTATTAATCGATTAATAATTCCATTTTTAAATTACTAATTTTTTTTTTTTTTATAGAAATATTAAAATGCTAATAGCGAATGTAAAAATGCTATTTCAATTCTTACTTGCTATTGCAATTTTCACCAATCAAATAGCCATTTCTGGTTAGTTTCCTTACAATTAGTCTTTTTTTTTAAAAAAAAAAACTGTATAAAATTACCATTATCATTATAGTAATTAACAAAGGTAAGAATAATTAATTTACGTGAAATATCAATGAATAGTACTGTATGTTATTTTCAACTTAAAAAATACTTTAAATGTAATTATGCAATTATAGGACAATCGCGCGTCTTTAAGCTCTTTTAAGCGCAAATGAACAAATTGATCAGATGTGACATGAAAATTTAGCACTTTTAAAAATTTATCGAATTTTGCCTTTCTTTAATAAACTTTTTCTTTTTAATCTCACCTAATTAATTAACCAATTTACAGGTGTGTGTCACTAAACTATGCAGTTTTTGTTTTTTATTTTTAACACAAAATTGTCACAAAACTATGCAGAATTGTTAATACTATGCAGGAATTCATATGAAAATTAAGCAAAATATTTGAAGTATTTAAATTTTACACGAAAAATTGATAATATTTATATGTGAAATGAATAGTTTGTTATTTCAGATATGAAAAAATTGCATTCGGATGACAATCCTTTTCAGTATCAACATGTGACAACAATGACAACAATAACAGATGAACAATCAAAAATGATTTTACGAAATCAACAAATGGGACAATTATTACAGCGAACTTTGAATATTAATAGGACATTTCCTAGATCATTAATATCAGAAATTATACGCTGCTTAAGTAAGTTGTCATTAAATTTTAAATTTTTTAATAATTTAAAAGAAAGAAATATTTTGATTTAATTGATTATTTGTTGGAATTTTAGAATGCACAAAACCAATCTTACTAGCAATTCGAGCATCATTAGTATCCGGAAATCATTATGAGCGATTTGTTAACGTTTGCAAGTATGTTTTTATTTTTAACGTATTTCACGTAACACGTAAATTTTCACGTAAATTGATAGATATGTTAGAGGTATCATCATTTTTTTTTTTTTTTGTCTACCATCTTATTTATTAATTTTATTTTTCACATTTTTATCAAATCTAATTTTAACATGATATAAACTCATGTTTGCTAATTATCATTTTAGCCGATTACGTGGAGTATTACAGTGTACCAATCATGTACCCGGAAAATGTTCAAGACAATCAGGAATTGAATCTTTGCTAGATAGTTTCCGGTATTTTTGCATTGATCAATTTACAGGTAATTTTAAATAGCTAATCTTTTGTAATATTTTATTTTATAATAATCATTGTATATATTAATGTCAATTATTTAATTATTCAATTACTAATATATTAAAAAATCATTTAATCAAAATATACTCAAAATGAACATATCAAGATCACTTCTTTTTTTTTCCAGCACAATAAACTTTATAGTATAATTAGTATAATTAACAAAATTTAAGATTGAATTAACCAATCTGATCTTTCATCTTTCATAATTAACTTAACTTTTTCGTTATAGCTTATAGATATATCTTTGAATGTTTGGATATTCATTCCGCAACAGTTTTACGTGGTAAGTTTCATGCTATTAGCATTAAGTTTAATGTATTAATTAGATTTGAAATTAATTAATAACTTGATTTTTAGCTCATTTTATTGTCTCCTTGCTTTGAAAATTCGTAATATGCAAAAGTTACAGAATGTCAAGGAAAATGTCAAGCAAGTCGTCAAGTACTTGGATGGTTCATATATAGTTACATTCATTCTACTTTACCGTTTTCAATTCCGGAACATGATACACCGGCTAAAATAAATGTGAAATATTTTGCTAAAATAAGTAGCGATGCTTGTAGGTATGTTTATATTTTATACTTCCTTTTTTTTCCTGAAAATTTTCCCCCTTTTTTGTTTTT